CGGCGGAGGAGGCCGAGGCCGCGGCCGCCGCCGCGGCGGCCGCCGAGGCGGAGGCTGCAGAGGCTGTAGCACTGGCAGCGGCCGCAGCGGCTGCGGCGGCGGCGACGGCGCTCCACGGCGATGGGGCCGGCGCGACGCCCGTCCGTGGGTCGAGCCGCCGCACGTCGGCCGCCGTGACCCCCGCCGCCCACCTCGCCGCCGCTGCCGCTACCAGCGGCAGCGACGCCGCATGGACGCCAATCGAGGGCGTGCCAGAGCTGCGCTCGCGCCCCCGCCGCCGGCCGCCTGCGCCGGCGCCCGCCCCTGCGCCGGCAGCGGCCAGCCTGGCGTTCACACCCATGGAGGGGGTCCCTGAGACAGCCCGCGGCTTCCGGCGCCAGCAGGCGCCAGCGACGGCCGCGCGTGCGGCGCCGCCTGTCCCTCGGTTCGCGTTCACGCCGATTGAGGGGGTCCCAGAAAAGGCGATGGGTTTGGCCTCGCTCGACGCCGCCGCCGCGGTCGCGGCCGCGGCGGCGGCGCCGCGCCAGCGGCTGTGGCAGGAGTCCGCCTCTGCTTCGGCGGCGGTGAGCGGGCCGGCGGGCCGCGGCGCGGCGGGCGGCGGCAGGAGGTCGGGGATTGCTGACGAGGCGGGGCGCGGCAGGGGAGATGATGACGAGGATGACAACGACGGCGACAACGGGGGCGGTTATGATGACTACGGGGCGGCGGATGACAATGGCGACGGCGAGGACGGGTGGCAGCAAGGGGCGGAGGGGGACGAGGCGGATGTCGTGCGCGCGTCGCAGCACGTGTCGAGCGTCGTGCGGGGCATCGCCGCCGCCGCGAGCCCGGAGACGCCCTCGCACCCGCTGCGCCTGGCGGCCAGCGGCAGCAAGGGGGCGCGCCCGGCCGGCGGCGCCGGCGCAGCCGCCGGCGAAGCGGCCCGGGGCACGGCGGCCGGGAGCGGCGGCGGCGCCAGCGGCAGCGACGGGGCAGCTGCGGCGGCGGCGTCTGAGCCGTCGCCGCTGCGGCTGACGCCCCAGGTGCAGGCAGCCAGCCAAAGGGCGCGCGGGGGCCAGGCGGCGACGGCGGCGGTGCAGACGGCCGAAGCTGCAGGCGCCAGCGGCGCAGCGGCGCGGCGCGGCAGCAAGCGGCCGCACGCGGCGGTGCAGACGCCGCGCGAGGGGCGTTGGGCCAAGAGCAGGAAGAGCCTGGCGTGTGAGCATCTGCGCGCGCGCATGCAGGCAGCGTTGCTGCGGGACGCGCCGCGGTTGACGGACGGCCGGGGAGCTGCCTGTGCTGCTGACCTGCAGCTGAGGTGGCCGGCCGCTGTGCATGCGCGGCGACCACGGCACCTCTCACCCTGGGCTGGCCCGCGGCGCCTCGAAAACCTCAACGCCTGCAGTCAAGTCGGTCCTCGGCCTGCTGCACACACACACACACACACACACACACACACACACACACACACACACACACACACACACACACACACATAACTCTGCCCCTGTTAATGCCGCACAGCTGACGGCATGCAGACAGGCCTGGACGGGCGCCGCCAGACCACGCGCGTGCGGCACCCTCCGCTGGAGTACTGGCGCAACGAGCGCAAGGAGATGTGCCGCGTGCACGCCAGTGAGCGAAAGGGGGCGAGTGAGAACGCTGCGGCGCCGGGCGCGCATCGGGGGCGCCTTGGGACGGCCGCGGCCTGCGAGGCTGCTGCAGAGTGGATCCCGCGTTGCCGTGCAGGTGTGACCCCTGAAGACGCGTCCTCGAACGCACGCACACGCACGCGCGCGCGCGCGCACACACACACACACACACACACACACACACACACACACACGCACAAACACACACGCCAGCCTGCACTCCCCCAGCCAGCCCACGTTCGGCATTGCCCCCCCCTCTTCCCCCACCCTCAGGCCTGCCCACCGTGAAGCGCACAGTGGAGCTCACCCCAGACCCCTGCTGGCCGGCGCCGCAGGGGGAGGTGGAGAAGCGGGAGCGCGCCAGGAGCAAGCCGCGCTCGAAGCCGCGCGCCGCCGCCAAGAAGTGACGGCGAGCACGTAGGGGGTAGCTGCAGCCAGCACGGGCTGACCTGGCGAGAGCGGATTGAAGGCTCCGATGGCGCTGCTGGCCAGGACGGGGGCGGCGTTGCGGTTTTTTCTTGCCCTTCATGTTGAGTTCTGCTGGGCGGTTTGCAATGCAGGTGGCAGTCACCCCGTTGGCTGTCAAGGGGTGCACAACAGTGCGGAGGAGGGCACAAGCCCGACCTGCGGCCCTGACCTGAGCTACCACCAAGACTTGCAAGGATTGAAGCAAGCGACACTTGTTTGCCGGCCGTGTTGATGGCTGCCGGCCGGATCCCAGGACTTTGACTGCTCTGTACAATACGGACTGGCGCGCCAACTCGTCCCACCTCCCTTCGTAAACGCTTTCTGTCAAAACACGTGGGCTGCTGGCAGGATGGCTTGCGGACAGGGGCGCAGCAGGCGGCTGCCTGGGATCAAGATGGCCAGCAGTGTGTTGTGCTCATCAGCCACGTCAGCTGCACGGCAGCTTGCTTGTGGTGGCTGATGGGCCGCCGCCGCGGTGGAAGCTGTGTGGAAGCTGTGGGCCGACGAGGTCAGCTGTATGTAAGTTTTGCTGGCCGGCCGCAAGGGCTGCAAATCAAGGCCGGCAGGGGAGCGGTATGTGCACCTTTACATTGCATGTGCATAGGGCTGCGTGGTGATGCAGGCAAGCGCCGCAAAGTCATGAAAAGGAGGACACGGCGGCGCCATCAGCGGCGCCTGGGAAAGAGAATGGGCAGCCGGGCGCCGTGGGGCACTGCCCATGCCCCCAAGACGCTGTTCATCTGCCGCTACGTGCTCCAGCCACAACAGGGAGACGCATGGACAAGCGGCCCCACCCCCAGCATGCCCGGTGCACGCCCTGCAACCTGCAGCTGCACGGCAGCTGCAGGGGCATCGGACTGACAGAAAGGGGCGGCCCAAGTCGCAGGCCCCAACTTCACACATGTGACATGTAAGGTCACGCGGTGGACGCCGCAGATGCTGACAGAGAGCCAAAGCAGCGGCGCAGTGCCACCTGAGGCCAACAGGGCCACAAAGGAAGCACATGCGCACGCCCTGCGCAGCTGCAAAACTTCGCATGCTGCGTGCTCGCCGGTGGCGACTCACAAACAGAGTCGCCACGATCCAGCCAGCCGGCCCGCACTGACCCCAGACGCCACGCCGCTGCCGCCGCCGCCAACCACCCTGCGGCGCCGGCAGCCGGCCAGGTCGTGCCTGCTGCGACCGCCCGCAAAGCGCCCCCAGGCAGCCACCAGATCGCTGGTCACGCCGTCGCCAGATCACACCATCGCGTCGATGAGGCTGGCGCGCATGTCCGTGACGATCGCGCTCGGCTGCGCGTCCCGCAGCTTGAAGACCGACTCAATCACGCTCATCTCCGTGCTGGTGGTGTCCATTCCGCAGAATGCCGCCCAGTCGTTGACCACCAGGCCGGCACCGATGACGTCACTGCCCCGGTTGACTGTGCCTGCGACCAGCGGGACCTGCGGATGGAGGGGGGAGGGGGTGTAAGGGGTTGTGGGAGGGTGGTTGGGCGCTTGGGGGCCAAGAGGGGGGGTGCTTGTGCAGGGTGCGCTGGTATCGCTGCGTCAAGACGGCCTGGAGCAGCGCCCCCAAAGCAATCAACTGCGCCGCCCACGCCGGCCGCGGTCCCAAGCTGCTGCGTCAGCGCCAACGTGAACGGGGCGAGCCTTTCGCCGCAGCGTTAATGCACACAGCCACACCCACGTATGAAGCCGCAGCGACATGCATGATCACACACACATGCACACACACACACACGCGCGCGCGCGCACGCACAAACAAACAAATACATTGTATACACATGCGCACACACGCCACCCCGCAAAAACAGCCCACCAGCCGCGCCGCCCACCTGCAGCAGTGAGGACAGCTCATCCAGGTCCTCTATGCTCGTCTTGGGGTGCACCAGGCCCCCCTGGTTGCTGAACCCGCAGTAGCTGCCGACCAACACGTTGCCCGCCACGGTCTGCCGGAAAACCTCCACCCCGAGCACGTCCGCCACAATCTCTTCCGTCTCCTTGTCGAGATCCGGGTGGATCAGCGCGACGTAGTCGTTCGTGGCTATGCAGTTTCCGAGCGCCGACAGGCGCTCGTCGACGCGCTGCACCACGACCTCGTCGGGCAGGCTGTTGCGGATGTGCTGCAGCTCCTGGTCGGTCGTGGAGCTGGGCAGCAGCAGGCCGTTGCGGTTGCCGATGGTCATGCGGCCGACGAGGCGCGTGCCGGCGACGGACGTCTTGATGACCGGGATGTGATCTGCGAGCTCGGCCTCAAAGACGCTGTAAAAGTTCTCGGCGCCGCCAAGCGCCGCGAGGCAGTAGGCGTTGGTGAGCTTGGCGAAGACGCCGATGTCGTTGTTGTTCTCAAACTGGCAGCGGGTCGCCATGGCGCGCTGCTGTCAGGGGGCGAGGCTGGGGCGCCCGGCCAGGCTGCGTGCGCCGCCGCTGTTGATGCCGCGCCGCGAGGGACGGGCAGGCCGCCAAGTGCGGGCTGTGGTCTTATGTGATAACAAGCTTGCGATCAGAACGCTGCTGGTGCACAGAACACAGCCGCCGCGACGCGCAGTCAGCACGGACAGCGGGACGTGAAGCAGTCGACTCCTCAGAGCGCGCTGATACAACTCGAATCACGCTAATTTATTTCTGTGACTCAGAAGCGTGCGAAGGCACGGCGTCGAAAAGATCAGGTGTAGCTCGTGATGGAAAAGCTGCGTGAGAAGAGTGTGTGTGCGGTTGTATGATTTAACGCCTCACAGGAAGCACATTGTGGTCATGCAGGTATGATATGCAGGAGCAGGCGTCGAGTTCGATTCTCATGATCGACGGCAGTCGCCGCTGCTGCGCCTGCCGCAGTCCCAGCTCCTCTCACAGCCTCCAGGCAAGCGCGGCATGACGCCAGCCGTGGCCGTCTGGGATGCATGCGCATGGCCCGGTATGGAAAGACAAAAATTGAAAAGTTCTTTCAATGAGATTCAGCACGCTCCGCTCTGCCATCGCCGACTTTTGCCCTTGCCGAGGACACCGCCCCCCTCCCACAAGCGTGGGTGCACTGCAAGCCGATGCAACGGCCCCTTGTTCAACGAGCGACCAGGGTTGGCACATAAGGCCCCTGATTTGGAACCGTAACTTCCTGCATGGGTCACAATAGCGAGCATTGCTGGCGCCCTCACGGTGCCGCATCTCCCCTAGGCAGTCCAGCGCAGCATGCCACGTTTGCCGCAGCAAGACGCCCGTTCACGGACCGGCTGCGCGGATGCGCGGTTCGTTTTGCGCCGATGCGCCGGCCGCCACACGGCGCAATTTCGGGGCCCGAAAGATTGCACATCACCAAATGGGGCGGGGTGACCTGCAGCCCCACAGGCCCGCTTTTGATGCCCAGGAGAACTTTGCCAGGGGGGCTCGCAGGCCCTCTAGCTGCCACACGTGCATTGAACACAAGCATTTTATCCACCCTCGGCCCGTTTAGGCAGCAGGACACCCCTGGACGGCCTCAGCGTCTAATCTGCGAGCAGCCGGGTCTCGGCTGCACCTCCGGTTGGCGCCTGGGGTGCGCATTGGGTGGTGCAAGCAGGGGCGCAGGCACGAGCTTCTGAGTTGCTGCCAAAGTGCTGCTTCTATCACATCATCCCTGCTGGTCTCAACAACGCGCACGACGCGCCACACAGCTGGTAAGTGTACTTGCACGCGACTGCCCCGCAGCCGCCCTGCGGCTTGGTGCAACGGCAAGCCGCTCTGCGACGCGAATGAGGCAATTGGTTCAGGGTGAGGAGATGATTAAGGCTGGCCTAAATCCGAACGCTAACACGCTCCCTCACTCATTGCCCTCATGTGGAGCGCACGGCATGCTGCTGGCCAACAGCAACAGCAGCAGCAGCAGCAGCAGCAGCAGCAGCAGCAGCAGTAACAGCAGTGGCGACGGCGGCGGCGGCAGCGGCGGTAATGGTTGCCCGTCAGCTGCAGTACCCCCTGGGTGCTGGCCAGCAGGGGTCACGCCATTGCGTGGGCGGCAAGCCGCCCCGGTCCGCCCTCGCGCCAGCCTGCTCCCGGAGGTCGCCGCAGATCCAACAAGCAAAGAGGCCGCTGGCCCCACCGGGTAGCTGCGCCAGAGCACGCATGTGGGGCAGCCACTCCGACCTGGCTTGCTGCGGCCTGCAGCCCTACCACCAGCATGAACGGGCTTCTGCAGCACCTGCAACTTCTTGGCCCCCTTCAAGGCCTGGCATTTGCCGAAGTCCTGCCTGGCATTTGCTCCCTATGTTGGCTATTTGCTAATGCTTGTGTTCACGATAATCCCACAAAGGGGTTGTTAACATCCAATCGGCTTGATAAATTGTTTATATGTCGCATCACATTGCTTGCAAGACGTGCGCTGGGTGCAGCAATGGGCGGAGCGCGGCGGTGCTGGCAGAGGCAGGGCCGACGGCGGCGCGGCGCCGCCGCCGCCCCCAGGAACCAGCAAGCAGCCGGAGGGTGCCGCGCGCGTGCGGGGCCATGCATGTTGGGTAGCCAGTGTCTAGTCAAGGTTTGCAGTTCACAGCGGCGCGCGCGGGGAAGAAACGATGGGCACGGCCACAAATCCCGGCCCCTTCATCGTCGACACAAGGAGGCTCAAGAACAAGCATGCGCGGCCAAAGAGGGCCCAGCCAGGCGCCCCCGTCAGACAGCAACGAAGGTGCAAAGCAGGGCACGCCCGGCCTACCCCGGAGCCCGGAAGCAGGGGCGCCGCACAGCCAAAGAGGGCGCGCGCGCGCGCTCTCCCGGGTGCGCGCGTGGGCAGCAGCGCCGCGGGTTTGGGGAACGCATGGCGTGCGTCGAGCTGGCTGATCACGCGGCGGCTGACACGAGGGTACGAGCCCACCCCGGCGGTCGACGGGTGTGCCGTACGCACATACGCGATGCGGACGGCGCCCGGCGCAGGAAGGCGGGCAGGATGCGACGGGCTTGGCGGTCGCAGAGGCACGCGGGCGACAAACAGCGCAGCGGTGACGGCCGGTGGAGTCTGCCCGCCGTCTCTTCCCCACCAGCAATCTGCCCTCATGGCGCCTGCAACCCCCGGCTGAAATAAGGAATGACTGAGGGGCGCGCCCAAGCTCGCGGTCCCCCTCTCCCCCTACGGCGCCCGGCAGACGAGCAGGCACCACACCCCCCAGCAGCCGCAGCACAAGGCATGGATGCGCGTGGCGAGCGCCGGGTGCTGACAGCGGGCGACGGCGCCTGAGACAGGCCCCCCGAGGCACGCGCAGCGCAGGCCAGCCGCGCCCGAACCCCCGCATACGACCACGCGCGCCCCTCGCCCCCGCGCCCCCTGTGCGGGGTGCGTGCGCGGCGCGACGAGGGGCACGGGGGCCGGCTGCGCGGCGGCGAGGGCACCGCCTGGACGGGGGGGGGCCTAAGCGCTGACCGCGCGGCTGGGCGCGCTGCTCAAGTCGCCGCCGCCGCCGCCGCCGCCCTCGGATATGGGCTCGATCGCCGTGTCGATCGGCGGCAGGGAGGCGAGGGCGTCGCGCG